CTTTAATGGTGATGATGATCAATTAGAGGTGGCGACAAATCTGCATTTTGATTCTTAGTCGGGCAGTGTCAATTTACAATCACGTTGATTGTGTGCTCGTTTGTTACCCTTATAATTATAAAAAACGGCAAATGTTCGCCTATTTAGCGTAACCTGTCTCTTCAAGCCGTGTTCTAGGCCAGAGCCAGCCCTTTTGTCACTGCCAGCGGTCAGCGGTGGAATAAGTTGCTTTGGATACTAGAACTGAAACAAAAGTTAGTAGAATGGAACTTACTCTTCCATCAAATTATACTCCACGTAGTCATCACCATCTTCAGACTACAAAAATACAGTATTTGTTAATTTCAATATAAATTGTATCATACGATCGCTTATAAATAACTACGTAATATTTATAACACAGTTGGAATATTCTAGGTTCACTAGTCATTTTGTAATATTTATTTCACCTGATAAAGTGACCTGACTTCGGAATTCTGATGCAGGTTTCAGCGGATCGAAGTTGTGCGTGACGTAGGGTCGATTGATCAGTAAGGTAACTGTTTACTCTCAAACATTAACTCGTGAGGTGTGACGATTTTGACAGTCCATCATTAATGTAAGATTTCAAGTATTCCTTTAAAGTTAAAAGACTCCGTTCATAGGCACCTTGAGTTTATGGGTGATATGATGAAGATCATAAGGAATTCACAGGTTTTTCTAAATAGAACTGATGTCATATCGGTCCCCTGGTCGATAAGAATTATCTTAGGAATACCAAAGTTAATGTATAATGTAGTAACCATTCACTCGTTTCTTCAACAGTTGAACTACGGTACGGATAGGGTATATATATACATAGAACTCATATATATATATACATAGAAGAAAACAGTAGAACCGTCTTATATAGTGAGAATGAAACGTGATTTCACTGGTTCAGCTTCGGGAAGTAGGCCATCGATGTTCAAAGATATTCTTTGGCACGGTTCGGTTGATGTTCTAGTGAGCTTCAATGAAGAACGGTTGATTTTTCTAAGTGCTTTATTTTCTTTACATGACATACTTTGCTTTACTTATAACCCTTTATCGTTTTGCATACCTTTCCGGTAACACTATTGTTATATTTTGTTGTTGATTCTTACTACGAAACCTTAATGACTGGCTATCGTGATATCATGATTTCGAAAAGGATACTTTTAATTTTTGTCGGAGCTGGGTATAAAATATTGTTATGGTACTCGTATATATTAATTTTAATTTGAGTATTCGAGCATAAAATATTATAATGAATGAATGTTTTTCAATGGATTTTTCATATCTTATATACCGAGTTTTTTAATTCCCTCGGAGATTACTAATTCATTTCTGATTTTTTTGAACGTTTGAAAGATGTCGACCAAATTGGCGATATACTAAAAATGGGTCAAATTAAGAGTACCCTTAACCGACGAGCATGTATGCGTATGTATATGGATATAGAAGAGGCGAGAGAGGTATATCAGGATCGTGCTAAATGGAAGTCTGTAGTCTCTGCCTACCCCTCTGGGTGATAGGCGTGAGTGTTTATATTATATTACATAATGTCCGAATCAGTTGCCATATAAAAGGGTCGATTTTTTTTGTACTGAATACAATCGCAAGGTACTCTTTTTCGGTTACACTGTAATTATTCTCTGCTTTATTAAGTGGGCGCTAGACAAAAGAAATAGGGCGATCTTGTCCTATTGGACCTTGGGACAGAATAACAGAGATGGCATAGTTGATGTATCGCATCTTAAAAGGAAATGTTTTGTAAAGTCTGGATATGCAAGGATTCGAGCTGTGACGCGTTTACATTTTAAGGTCTCAAAGGAAAGCTGTTGTTCATTTTTCCATTCAAAAGTAACGTCTTGTTTTATAAGAGAAGTGAAAGATTTGGCATATTTAGAAAAATCGAGAATTAAACATCTATAATATGATACTAGGCCGATGAAGAATTTAATGTCCTTGGATGGTTTTGGAACTGGAAAGTCGGTGACAGCCATCACGTTTCCGGAATTGCGTTTGACACCATCTTCACTGACTGACTTCTTTACGAAGGGATTCGCATTTTTCGGGTTGTAACTTGAGATTGTAATTTCTGAGACTGTTAAATACAGCGTTGAAGACATCTATGTGAGAAGATAGATAAAAAAAATAATGACGATGTCGTCTAAATAAACAAAGCATCATGAATTTGGAGTTCTGATAGGCATGCATACATGAACATCCAATAGTTTGGACTTAATAAAGTTGGAAAATTTCTTTGTGGTACAGAAACCGCGGTTTAGGTGCATCTTTATCTTTAGTTAACAATTGATTCTGTAATGTTACCCAGCTGGTCTAGAATTTCAGAAATTTGTGGAATAGCATAAGTTTCACCACTACGTTTGCAAAAAGTAAATTACTATTCGCCATTAATGTTGTATCTGGGAATCGAATTTCTTGGGCACAATCCAAATTGATGAGCTCCAAGGTTAGTATTAGGGTTCGATTATGTTTTAGTCGAGTATATTAGTGATTTGAGTCTCGACTTCCTTTTTATGACATGTTGGGTACCTATACATTTTAGTTTGGACGGGCACCTCGCTGCTCGTTTTGATTTGGTGATTAATGGCGGATGCTTAAATCAAATGACCATCGGGCAGATGAATAATGTCGCAATATCCGGAACATAGCTTGATGACGGACTTTGGACGTGGGACTCTTCTTGATTTAAATATTATATAATACGAATTTATTACTTCAATTGTTTGTTTAGCTGTGTTATAGATGTTTGTGTTCACCTAAACAGCGTCAAAATGTGAGGGTTTTATTTTAAGGTGGTAGAGCCATGCTGCAGTCAAATTAAAAGTATAGTTGTAGCACGAATATGTCGGCTTGATCGGGGAAGAACCACGCTCTCACGGAATACCAGCGTAGCTCCTATACTTCGTACGGTGAGTGTAGAGAACCGGAGATCCGTTTTACTGGAAACGAGGCATTCCATCTTAGTCTTCACGGGTGAAAACGCATCTGCATTTTGATTCGTAATCGAGGAGAAATGTAGATGTCTATGGGCCACTGCAACCACTTACCATCAGGTGGACTGTGGCTCGTTATGCAACCTATTCTAAAAAAAAATCTAATTTGTATTTATGTTATCAGGAAACTCTGAAATATACGGTTAAGTTAATGCGTTTATTGTATTTGATTTTTATAATACAAATGGTTATATAAGTAAATTATCCTATATTTGTCGATCAGAGCCTATGATACCGAAATAAGGCAAGTTAACACTTTTAATGGCGTGGAATTCGTAAATCGCGGATTAAGTCTTATTTAATTTTAACTTTAACGATATGGCCCTCGGTCGTTATCGGTTCATCGTCCGGGTCTGTGCCCTTGAGGTTCATAGGTTCTTTTATTCTTTCATGATGATGATGATCAATAAGAGGTGGCAACAAATCTGCATTTTGATTCTTAGTCGAGCAGTGTTAACTTACCATCAGGTGGATTGTATGTTCATTTGTTACCCTTACATTTATTAAAACGGCGAATGTTCGCCTTTCTAGCGTAATCAGTCTCTTCTGTGTTCTGTAAGCCAGACCCAGCCCTCTCGTCAGCAGCGAAGACGGTCAGCGGTGGAATTACTTGCTTTAGATACAAGAACTGAAACAAATGTTCATAAAATGGAACTTACATTCGAACTATCGTAGTCATCTCCAATCTACAAAAATACAGTATATATTAACTTTATTGTAAATTGTATTATACGATCACTAATAAATAACGACATTATATTATAACACGGTTTCAATATTCTCGAAAGTTATTTTTTTAAAGAAAACGTCTTAAAAAAAGGAGGAGGTTCTCAATTCGAGTGTATGCTTTTTTATATATAAGTGACGCGATGTCTTCTTATATTTTTATATATAAGTGACGCGATGTCTTCTTATATTGTGAAACAATTTTATGATTATTTTTAAGATAATTAATCGATCAGGCGTTACTTTGCGGAAATCCGTTATATTAAAGTTGGTAGCAAGTACTTCGCCCATATACGCTCAATCTGCCGTAGAACCAGAGTAACCGTCCTGGTCAAAAGGATTTGTGATATGTTTTGGTCGAGCATCTTATTGATTTGAGTCTCGACTTCCTTTTTATGACATGCTGGGTATCTATACATTTTAGTATGGACGGGCAACTCGCTGCTCGTTTTGATTTGGTGATTAAGGGCGGATGTTTAAATCAAATGATTATCGGGCAGATGAATAATGTCGCAATATCGGTAACATAGCTTAATGACGGACTTTGGACGTTGGACTCTTCTTGATTTAAATATTATATAATACGAATTTATTACTTCAATTGTTCGTTTAGCTGTGTTATAGATGTTTGTGTTCACCTAAACAGCGTCAAAATGTAAGGGTGTTATTTTAAGGTGGTAGAGCCATGCTGCAGTTATATTAGTAGTATAGTTGTAGCAGCGTAAAATACCAGCTTAACGCTGCTGTGTTTCGTATGGTGAGTGTAGAGAACCGGTGACCCGTTTTACTGGAAACGAGGCATTCTATCTTGGTCCGCACGGATGACAACGCATCTGCATTTTGATTCGTAATTGAGGAAAGATGTAGATGTCTATGGGCCACTACAACCACTTATACTCGTTTGTCATCCTATTTTAAAATCAAATCTAATTTGGATTTATGTTATTAGGAAACACTGAAATTTATAGTTAAGTTCTCAGTCTCGTTCTCGACACTGACCCGACTGTACACGCGCAGGAAATTCCTTACGCGACGCGCTCGCGCAATCTATTGATATACCTACATGACTGTAATTGTTAAATACGCGTCAAAATGGAGTGCCAAAAATGTTAGAAGATTTCAGCGGAAAAAGGATCACACTTCATTTGCCAAGGACCGTGTCAACGAACTTTTCATAGAGCTTGTGTTAAGGGTCTTTTGGCGGATATAAAAATGGCAGGAATCGGATCTATTGTAATAACTGTGAAGACGATGGATCTGAAGAAGAAGAACAGCAAGAATACTCAGGACTACACTAAAATTCCCAAGGGCATACAGGTAAAAGTATCTGCCATTCCTGGGTTCAAAAAACAACTTGATTCAATTACGCAAAGTTTGAATAAGCTTTCCGATAAGTATGATACATTGATAGTTGAACATGAACAATCAAAAACTTGAGACACACACACAGATTGAGAAAACTGTCGCTGATGCCAACAACACATACGTCTATTTGCAAAAACAAAACACCGCCATCGAACAAAAATTACACGAATTCGAGCAGGTATCTCGTAAACACAATATCGAGATTGTAGGCGTTGAACAGATTCCCGGTGAAAATGTCATCAATGATATTATCAATGTGAGCAGTTCGGATATAGAATGGGCTAGACGTACTCGATCACCAAAAGAAAGCAAAAAAACCACCGCCAATTATCGTGAGCTTTAAGACTACAGGTACCAGGTCGAGGGACAGCTGGCTTGCCCAGCGTCGCAACTTATCAGACACGACGAGTAATATGATTACAAATGGTTCGGCTTTGAGTAAAATCTACATAAATGAAGACTTAACCAAGACAACACGAACCCTATTATGGTGTACTAAGAAACAACTTCAAGGTATTTATAAATTCGAGACCCATATATGGGTCTCGAACGGAAAAATTCTAGTCAAAAAATGTGAAGGTGAAAAAGCAATATGCGTGCGAGCTGAAAGTGACATTTATGATCTACTAAACAAAACGTGAAAATATTACTAACTCCATTGTTTATAGTGTTTATTTTTCATATAAATTCACGGACATAAGCAATATCGACTCCATATTACGCTATGAATCTGTAAGTTATACGTGTCTTGATAGTATAAATACGTGGGTGCAACAAGTACACAATGTCAAGGACTTACGTTTATTACATGTAAATATACGATTAAAATAAACATTTTAATGAATTTCTAGTTACTCTCGGTAGTAATTTGAGCCAATTGGATATCATTGTGATGACTGAAACAAACATTAATTATTCTGCATTATCTTTCTAAAAAATCCCTGGATTCAAAGTAAATATTTATAACCGACAAGGACGTAACGGCGGGGGTGTACGAGTACTTGTGTATTCCCGAGCGGAATTCACTGCGCATGTAAGCAAAACGGCTGAGCTCGCGAGTAGTGTTATGCGCTCGGCGGAGTGCGTTTCCATTACACTCAACATTATTGGGGAGCATATTTATTTAATTTTTATTTATAGGCCGCCTCATTTCCGCAACCAAGACAGAATTCGTGATTTTTTTTGTTGAATTAAGAAATTTATTTAGCAAATTACCTAAGCACTCAAAAGCAATATTCTGTGGTGACATAAATATCGATCTTTTAAAATATCAAGATAACAATGTCAAATTGTATGAAAATATAATGGCGGAATATGATTTTGCCAGGTGCATATGCGATGTAACACGAAGGGAAATAGTCATGGGTAACATTGTAGAACCGTGTTTGGAGCATATTTATATAAGGGCACCTTTGTCATTAGTTGAATGAGCTGTAATACAACATAAGGTATCTGACCATTACTATGTATCAGCAGCGATACAATGAAAACGCGCTCCTTCCGTGAGTCATATCACCCACTCCGATAGTCTAACACCTATGCGACCTGTCAATAGATGCGTTCTGAATAATCGTTTAGTTAGAGAAAAATTACTATTAACAGATTTTAATCACTTGTTGAATATTGAGTGCCAAGTTGAGTTGTACGAAGCTTTTTCTAGTATTTTTACTAATATATATAATGGATGTTATAAATCGCAAACGATTGGGGTAAATAAAAGTGTTAGAAATAAAGGATGGATAAGTGAAAATTTAAAAGGGACGATTCAAAAAGAGATAGGTTATTTGTTATATGGTGCAATAAACAAAAAAAATATGATAAAGAGATTAAATTATACTAATTATAGGAATAAATGTAGTAATGCTATTTCTAAATGTAAAATGAAATATGATAAACAAAGTATACTAGACTGTAATAAAATATAAAGAAATTATGGGATAAGATAAATAGTTTACTGGGTAATGAAAAAAATCACTAGACGATTTAATACTTTCTAATATGGGAAACCAAGACAGTGTAAAAGAAATTTGTGATAAGTTTGCTGATAACTTTTTAAGTGAAATCGACCTCATAAGGCACACATATACAGAAAAATGGTTAGTGAGGGACAATTACGTTGATAGACCTGATGTATGTATTTGATGGCAACCGGTCAGTAGTGGAGAAGTCAAACGTGTTATTAATCAATTAGATAAAAATTAATCGCTGGGAACTGATCTCGTACGGATTTCAGACTTAAAGTTAGTTGTTGACAAAATAAGTTCTGTTATATCTAATATAGTTAACTTGTCGGCAAAGCACCATAGATATCCGAATAAATTAAAAGAAGCTATAGGTAATTCGTCCAGTCCATAAAAAGGGTGATCGTAAATTTCTTTCAAACTACAGACCAATTGGTATATTATTTAGTATCGATAAAATTTTTGAGAAATGTATAACAAATCAAATTGGGTTTTATTTACAAAAAAAATGACATATAAAATGAACGCCAACACGGTTTTCAATGGGGGAAAAGTACGAACACATTATTATCAAAATTTACTGACGAAATTAACTCATATTTAGGAGATAAAAAATTTGTAGTTGCTATTTTTTACGTTTTCAAAAAAAGCATTTGATACCTTAGAAACAGAAACACTCTTAAATGGAATGGACGAATGTGGCGTGAGAAAGCCGTTAAACCAGTGGTTTCGTGACTATCTTGCATCACGCATTTTCCGTGTAAAGGTTGGTGACACGTTTAGTGAGGCGACTGGCTGTGAGAGTGAGGCTCGGGATGTGGGCCTATTTGCTACTTACTGCATGTTAACAGCTTATGTGACGTACTTCAGCATAGCTCTGCATACATGTTCGCAGATGACCTATGTACATTACGTGCTGGTACTAATCTCATAGAAACATGTCACCTATTACAGCAAGACATAGACTCAGTAGTTAAGTGGTACCAAGATAATGGCATCGTCTTAAACTCAGATAAAACCAAGTGTCTTATCATTCAGTCGCCTTATCTACGTCCTACTGACTCGTCTCCTCAAATGTATACTTATAACTTTGAGTGCCTCCATAATAGTCTAAATAATTGTCGATATGAGCCTATCGAAAAAGTCGATTGTGTAACCTACCTCGTGTTAAAGTTGATACTAACTTTTCGTGGTCCAGCAATGTAGATTATGTATGTAAAAAGTTAAGATTACTTCTAAGTAAATTTATCACTTAAGTTTTAAAGTTCCTTCTGCTACTTTAAAATGCTTATATTTTTCATTGGTAGATTCGATTTTGGGATACGCTCTTGACAGTTATGGTCTTACATTTAAAACCTACATTGATAAGCTTGAAGCATTACAAATTAGATTTTTAAAGTTACTTGTTAATAAAAAAAACTAAAGCTATTTGTAAAGGCGATTACACAAAACTATTACTTAAGTAAGTTTAAAACATAAATATTTACTTGCCATTAACAATTACAACTGTCGAGACCGTACTCTAATATTGGTCAAGCATGGTCAGGGTACACGGTCGATGTCTGCAGGCAAATTTGTTGTACCAAACTACTTCGGGGATATAACTTTAAAGAAACGACTACCGTACTTTTTCAATAGTTTGCCTGAGGACATTCGACGTGAACCAGTAAAAAACATATTTAAAAATAAATTAAGGAAATATTTATTGGCAAGTCTCAGTGCTTAGCATTAATATTATATATCATGTAAATGAGACTCAAATGTTCCTGCAGACAAACTGTGTTTGTAAGCAGTTTTGCGGGAATATGTATATTTGAAAACCAAATTTTTTTTATTTTTAATAATAAATAAATTTAAAAAAAAGGTTAACGCGTGTATTGTGTTTGATTTTTATAACACAATTGGTTATAAGTAAATTATCCTATATGTGTTGATCAGAGCCTTTGATACCGAAATGGGGCAAGTTGACACATTTAATGGCGTGGAATTCGAATGTCGTGAATTAAGTTTTATTTAATTTTAGCTTTAACGAAATATGGCCCTCGGTCGTTATCGGTTCATCGTCCGGGTCTGTGCCCTTGAGGTTGATAGGTTCTTTTATGAGGTTATGATTTTTATAATTGCTGGCTTGTTTTAGTGAACGTCATTATGACAGTATGGTTTATATGAGATCCTGAATAAAAAAGCAAAGACAGTGGAATATCCGCGACGGATGAATCGAGCAGGATATGTGGAAACAATATTTTAGTGTTATGCAAATTTATTCAGTGATTTCTAATTTGCTTGTTGGAAAAGGAACATTCAAGTTGCGCGTCTTGGATGGCTGTATCCTTGCTTGGGGCTGGTTACCCGTGTGGTCCTTGCATATGAGGAAGGAACGGTTGGTGCCGGGTTTTGATCATCGTTTAAATTTTGTTAAATAAAATCGTTAAATAAAAGATGGAATTACTCGTTAAATAAAAGATGGAATTACTCTTGATCTTCTTCATTATTGGGCTGCTACACGAAATTGACCCGTGGTTTTATGTGTGGCATATACTAGAATTGGGAGGGTGACGGAATATTTTGATTCCTGAATCGGTTATTGGAGTGTTCTTGTTTTTTACAGGGTATAATATCATGCTCTGCTGTCTTACAGTATTGGCAGAAAGCGTGAGTGGAGCTCTGTTGATTGAAATAGGGATAATGTGATACCTTTTGCGAAGTTGACGGCGTAATATTAAGAGTTTTAACGAAATATTGCCTAGGTTTGTGGTCATATTTTGCCTCTAGATGAAGTCGTTTATATAGGCTTTGATGTATGTACGGTCTTCCGAGAGGGCTACTAAATTGTTGGCTTCATTGAGGATCTACGGAGACCTACACCTAACGGTGTTTGAAATGCGGGCATGTACTACCCCCTACTACCGTAATACGGTTTAACGAATTTTCATTAGGTATTTAAATCCATCTCGATCATTGGAGAGTTGCAATGGTAGCCTTAGTAGCTCTTGGAGTGGCTGGGATGGATTTCTGGGCGTCACTAACACCCGTCCTGTGATTTCAACGGTTAAACTGGCCTCTACCCCTTTGGCCACTTTTGGCAAACTGCTGCATTGCAATACTCAACGAACCTTAAAGCTAAGCTATCATTATTATTAGGAATCTGAATCTGCCGTAGACCCAGTGTAACCGACCTAGCCAAATGGATAAGTAAGATGACGTGGAAATGGGTTGGCCATAGAGTTCGAAGAACCGACAACTGATGGGGAAGAAATGTCCTTGAGACGAAGCCGCGTAACAGTAGGGGAAGCGTTGTTTGGGAGAAGCCTATGTTCTGCTGTGGACTATTGAAGGGCTTTAATGATGATGATGATCAATAAGAGGTGGCAAAAAATCTGCA